CTCTCTCTCTCTCTCTCTCTCTCTCTCTCTCTCTCTCTCTCTCTCTCTCTCTCTCTCTCACACACACACACACACACACACACACACACACATCGCAAACTTCGGACTTCGCCTTTGCCAGAAGAAGAAGAAGAAGAGGATAGTATGAAGAAGAAGAAGAAACAAAGAACAACAAAGGAAGACTTACCTTTACCGATATACGGCCGGGCCAGGGCGATGGTGATCTGAGGCCGGGGCGGACGTGGGTGACGCCGACGCATCGGACTTCGGCTTTGCCAGAAGAAGAAGAAGAAGAAGAAGATAGTATGAAGAAGAAGAAGAAACAAAGAACAACAAAGGAAGATTTACCTTTACCGATATACGGCCGGCCCAGGGCTATGGTGATCTGAGGCCGGGGCGGACGTGGGTGGCGCCGACGCAGCCTCGACCTCGTTCAGTTTCGACGGAGTGTCGAAGTGATGGGTCCTGCTACTAGAAAGTAGCTGGAGGCGGGAGGCGGGAGGCGGGAGGCGGGGTGGTGGGGGCTGTGCCTGGGAAGGTTTGGATCACCGCCCAGAGAACTTCGGGTGGTTTCCCGCCCGAATGTTCAGAAACGGGCGGCCTATCTGGGCTGCAGATCTCACCAGATCGACGGCCCAGATAGGCCGCCAGTTTCTCAATAATCTGGCGGGCCTACCTGACCCGGTTGATTTTTTTTTGGGGCCGGGAGGCCTCCAAGACCCGCATGGAGGCCTCCCGGCCCCAAAAAAAATCGTACACCCCCCCCAGCGAATTGCACAAATTGCAACCTGGGGAAACCGGTGCCCACCGGCCGGTACCACCGGCCCGGTTCGGTGGGACCGGATATTCAGACTTGAACCACCGGTCCCCCCGCCAGTTAGAAACTGCCGAAGGACCGGTAGGCCGCGATCGCAATTTCTTTTGTCGCGCGACCGGTTTTTCGCGGCCTACCGGGTCCCAACCCGATTTGCCGTTTCAGATGTAGGACCCGGTAGGCCGCGTGCTGAGGAAACCCGTCGTCGCAGCACGATGTCCGTGTTCATGCATCCGAACATGGAAGTGACCCACCCGGCACAAAAAAACAAAAAAAACAAACAAAAACAAAAAAAAACAAAACGTACATCCACTTTGTTTTATATTTTTATTTTATTTGGTTTTCGATTGTTTTCACTTTTTTTTTTTTTTTTTTTTTTTTTTTAGCGGTAGCGAAGATATCGAGAGTGCTGCAGAGGAATTGAGCGAGAGGCCGCGGCGGTTAGTTGTCTACGAGAAGCGCAAGCGTGGGGAGGAGCCAGTGTTCGAAGATAGCCTGCCAATGGTGACGCCAGCTAAACGGACACCACGTTCTACAAGGAACAAGGCAGGGGCTACGTCTACGAGGGCGGGCCGCGTGAAAAGCGGTCTGAAGACTAAGCTATCACCCTATTTACCAAAAGCGAAGAAGAGTCCGGGTCAGGCTAGTACACTGGCTAAGTTGCGGTATCGGAACCAGGTGACGGAAGACATTCGCGGTCTGGACGCACAGGAGCTTTAAGTCATTTGCAAGAATGAGGGTATTCCCTATAATGGTAAAGTCGAGTCAATCTTCGATATCGCAAGTCATAGGACCAGGGTGGCTTTCGGAGAGTTGCAGGAGGAGGAGATGTTTGAGGAGATTGGTGTTGAAGAGGCGAATTCTACAACTTTGGAACCGGAGGAGCTTTTGACTGACGCATGAGCAGGCTACAGAACTAACGAGATATGGAGGATTGTTAGGCAATTGACTGACCTTCGTACTAAGGTGACTTATATGGATTATGAAGTCGAATTTGTCCTTCGCATATGGGTAGTGTTGTTGTCTTTCCGATGGGTAATACATTGGAATCAGAAGTTGGTTAAGTCCTGGAAGCGACTATACGACCGGTTTGGGGTTGAGTTCTGTAATCTAGAGTGTTGTGTTTACGTAGTTGTTTCCCCCGTATGCAAGTTGCAATATGTCAGTAAGACGTGTTGGGGTATTAATGTACGGTTGTGTGAACACCTCTCGGTATGCAGAACGAAAAAGTAGTCACACTTCCACAGGTGGTTGGGATCGTTTGGAGCTAACAATTATGTGTTTCTTCCTGTCGATTATGGGGAGAAAGGGGATCCGATTAAGCTTGAGGAAACGTATATTAGACATTGGTCCCCCTTTCTCAACACTGCTGGAGTAAAGAAGAGAACTGGAGGAAACAAGAAGAAGAAGAAGGGTAGGAGGGAGAGAGGTCGAACCTTACCACGAGAGTGCCAACTCATGGACCCTGTGAGGGTTAAGTCGATCGGTGAGGAGACTTGGACTTGTGACCTGCAGGAGCTGCTGAAAAAGAAGGAGGAAGCTGGGATACATACGTTCTCGCTGATTTCGACTGGTGGGAACGTATGGGCGGGTGGTTGGAAGAAAATTCGGAAGCATTTCGGTGAATCGACGATACGGCAGAAAGAGGGTTGTATTCGTCTACGACATGCTAAGTCGGTATTTGAGGGCGGCGAGACGATCGATGTGGCCTACCTGAGAGTTTGGAAGGCACATGGAGGAGTACTCAAGCAGATTTTAGTTGGAATTTTGAAGAACCCTCGTAAGTTGTCGAATCTGCAGTCTTGGAGTTTGAAGTCAATTTTGAAGTTATACAATGTCATTAAAGACTTTCGGAGGAAGTCAACGCGCAAATATTTAAGGCGGTTGCTATCTCGTTTGATCCATGAACGTTTTGGACTCTACATGTCTATGGATCTAATCGTTCGAGTGAAGTTTGATGATCGCGTGCGGATAGTGGAGGTAAGGAAGGCAGTGAATGACGTCGTGATGGAGTGTAACCTCCCTTTGACTTTTAAGAAACGTGCAAGGAAGAAGGTACACATCGTTTGAACTAAAAACCAATCGATTGGGGACATTCTCCACAAGCTGCTGGAAAGGTTTCTACCTGACCGTGTGCAGGAACTACCCTTCCATGCGAAAGGGGACGTGTATGTTTCCGTTTGAGTCAAGGGGAGCAGCATCACCGGATCTTAGCTAACGCGTATGATATCCCGCATGTATATGGGAAGGATTGAGTCAGACTACTAAGTAAAGAACTAACGGAGGGGTTCGCAGCTTGGAAAAATTTGAAGGGACCAGTGTCTGAATTTGAGTTGGAAACTTTGAGAGGATGCATACAGGAAGGTGAGAAAGCTGTAGGGAAGATTTTCATGGATGATGTCCTTCGTGTGAAAGCAGAGTTAAATGAATTTGTTCTTACCCCATTGCATCGGAATCCGGGCGACACTTTGGTCATGTGCCCGACTATGTACTTTGCAGCCATGATGAAGGTATTCGTTACTAACCCAGGAAATAGGATGGTTGAGAAGTCTGATATAGAGGTGCTAAAGGAGGAAAGATGTGAGGTGGAAAGGAGGGGTATAAATAAATTCGCATGTTGGGACACCAAGGGTAGCTTAAGCTCGTCGTATGTCCTTCCGAAGCACAAGGACATTGAGTCGTATCGCCCAATCTGCCCTACCTTTAACGAACTAATGGTGAGGACTGGTCGATTGGTTGCACGTACGCTGAACCACCTTC